TGTTTGCATATGATCGTGAAGGTTCAGGGCTTCAGAAGGCGATTTGGAGATCAGCAGATGTGCGATCGGGATGTAGAGAAAGCTATCTCGTTTGAACAGAAGCGTAAGACTTGAAGGCCTGAGATGGCGCGGTTAATATCAGCAGATGTGCGCCGCATGGTTTCATACCTAACCCTCCTGCGTTGCGTTCTCGTAATGAATAGAGCACTGCGGTCGCGACCTTCTCATCCCGGCCCCCTCCTCCTGTCCTCTTCTACCTGCTTGCTACCCTGCCTTCTACCTCGCCGTCCTGCCCGGGTGCTCGCTGGGAGACTGCGAACTGCGAAACTGTCGCCGCATTCGAGGGCTGCTGGGAGGTTACTCGGAGTGACACCTTACGCAGACCTACATTCCACCTCGCCATCCCTGGAGGGGCTGCGATCTGCAAACCTGTCGCCACTTTCGAGGGCTGCTTGGGGGTCCCTCGGAGTAACGCCTTACGTAGATGTACACTAGACCTTGCTATCCTTGGGGGGCTACGAACAGCGAGTTTGTCGCCACAATCAACGGCTGCTGGATGGGGAGTGACGTCTTACGCAGACCTAAACTAAACCTCGGCATTTATGGAGGGGGCTACGAACTGCGAAACAATCGCCACGGTTAAGGGCTGTTGGGGAGTCCAGAGGAGTGACGTCTTACGTATACCTCAACTAAAACTCGCCATCCCTGGGGGGCTGCGAACGGCAAAGCTGTCGCCGCGGTCCTTGGCGGCTGCGGGTTCCAGCGGAGTGACGCTTGACGCAGACTCATATTAGACCTCGCCAATCCCTGTGGGGGCTGCGAAATGCGAAGCTGTCGTCGCGTTCGAGGGCTGCTGCTGGCTCCAGCGGGGCGACGCTCTACGCAGACTCATATCAAGCCTCGCCATCCCCGCGGGGGCTGCGAACTGCAAAACTGTCGACGCTTTCGAGGGCTGCTAGGGGGTCCAGCGGGGTGACGCCTTCCATCTCGGGGGGTTGCGAACTGCAGAATTGTCGCCACTTTCGAGAGCTGCCAGAGGCCCAGCGAAGTGGTACCTTACGCAGACCTGAATTTCACTTCGCCATCCCTGCGGGGGCAGCGAACTGCCCGACACTTTCGAAGTCTTCTGGTAGGTCCAGCGGAGTGACGCAATAATCATATGTAGATTAGACCTCGCCATCCCTGTGGGGGCTGCGAACTGCGAAATTGTCACCACGTTTGAGGGCTGCTGGGGGTCCAGCGGAGTGACGCCTTACGCAGATGTACACTAGACCTCGCCATCCATGGGGGGCTGCGAACAGCGGAATTGTCGCCACTTTCGGGGGCAGACGTCTTACGCAGACCATGTTTAAACCTCGCCATCCCTGGGGGGGCTGCGAAACGCAACACTGTCGAAACTTTCGGGGGCTGCTGCGGGCCCAGCGGGGTGACGCCTTACGCAGATATGCATTCGACTTCGCCATCCATGGGGGGCTGCGAACAGCGGAATTGTCTCCACTTTCGAGGGCTGCTGGGGGGTCCAGCGGACAGACGTATTACGCAGACCATGTTTACACCTCGCCGTCCCTGAGGGGCGCGAACTGCTAAACTATCGCCACCTTTGAACGGGCTTCTGGAGAGTTCATCGAACTAACGTCTTATGCAGACCTGCGCTAGACCTCGCCACCCGTGCGGGGCTGCGACCTGCGAAGCTGTCGACACTTCCGCGGGCTGCTGGGGGTCCAGCGGAGTGACGTCTCACGCAGACCTAGATTAGGCCTCGCCATCCATTGGGGGCTGCGAGCTGGGAAATTGTCGCCGCGTTCGATGGCTCCTGGAGGGTCGGCGGGGTGACGCCTTACGCAATCCTAGGTTCGACCTCGCCATCCTTGGGCGGCTGTGAACTGCGAATCAGTGATATCGAGGATATCCCTGGGGAGTTGGGCTTAGATCGGGGATGTGCAGACAAACGCATCAGTGGCATAGGATCGTGAGGGTTGAAGGCTTGAGAAGGCGATGGTGAGAGCAGCCGGTAGGCACCGCATGATATCATTTCCCCAACCCTCCTGTGTTTGGTTCTCGTTTAGAAAAAAAGCACTTTGCTATCCACTCCTCCTTTTCCTCCCTCCTCTTCCTGCCTCTCCTGCGCTGCTCCACGGGTGGCTGCGAACTGTCGCCACTTCCGCGGGCCCCTGAGAGATTGCGAGCAGAACAACTTTTGCTAGTTTCGTGGGCTCTTGGGAGGCACTGCGGAGTAGGGGAGTACGCGCACCCATCCGAGACCTCACAGCTCCCTGGGGGGCTGCGAGCTGCGCAACCGTCGCCTCTGTCGTGGGCTTCTGGAAGGCACCGTGGAGTAGTGGAGTAGGGGAGTATGCGCATCCGTCCGAGACCGCGCAGCTCCTTGGGAGTCTGCGAACCTACTTTCGTGGGCTCCTAGGAGGCATGGCGGAGTAGGGGAGTACGCGCACCCAGCTGGGACCTCGCAGCTCCCTGGGTGCCTTGTGAACTGCGCAAACGTCGCCATTTTCGTGGGCTCCTGGGAGGAGCTGCGGAGCAAGGCCTATCCATTACCGCTTAGAGCTTGGGACCTATGGCTCAGGGTTGGAAGCCTGGGATTGAGATGTTAGGGCTTAGAGCTTTTTACTACCAGCTTATGGCTTAAAGCTTAGAGGCTAGGGCTTAGGGTTTAGGGCTCGGGGCTCAGGGGTTCGAACTTAGGGGTTAGATTTCGGATGTTACGGTGTTAGGCTTAGGGTGTTAGGGTTAGGGGTGTAGGTCAGGGTGTTTGGCTTAAGGTGTTTTGATTCGGGTGTTAGGCTTAGGGGGTCAGGGTTTTAGGGAATAGGGTGTCAGGGTTGGAAGTCGGGTGTTAGGGTTTTGGTGTTCGGGTCAGATTGTTACGCTTAGGGTGGTAGGGTTCGGGGTAGGGCAGGAGGGTTCGGAGTAGGGTGTTAGGGCTCGTCGGGGTAGGGCGTTAGCATTCGGGTGTTAGGGTTAGGTCGGTATGGTTTGAGTTAGGGTGTTAGGGGAGTAGGCTTACGGCTCAGGGCGGCAGGTATCGGCTTAGGGCGGTAATGTTAGGGTGTTAGGATTCGAATGTTAGGGTTTTGACTTGTTCGGGTTTGGGTGTTCGGCTTAGGGTGTCAGGTTTACGGTGTTAGGGTTCGGGTGTCAGGGTTAGGTTTAGGGCGGTAGGGTTAGAGTGTAGGGTTTTCGAGCTAGGGAGGCGGCGTGGCCAAAGGGGGGTAGGGGGGATCGGACTTTCGAGTCCGAAGGAGGGGGGAAGGGGTTCCCCCTCCCTTTGAAGGGAGAGGGGGGGTGGGGACAACGGATCGGGAAGGGTGTGTGTGTGTGTGTGTGTGTGTGTGTGCGTGTGTGTGTGTGTGTGTACGTGTTCCGGGACGACATGCTGGGGAAAGGGGGGGGAAGGGGTGGGGGTCCCCGACGGAAATGGGACAATGTACATCCAGTTAGAACTACTCCCAACCACCTCAGTACACAGTGCAACCACATCGGTAATGATTCCAACCACCCTAGGATGAATTCCAACCAACCTCCATGAGAAGCCCAGCAGGCGTCTTAGAGGCGTCGCACGGGCGTCTTAGAGGCGTCTTTGAGGCGTCTTAGCTGCGCCGTACGGGCATCGTGGCGGCGTCGCACGGGCGTCTTAGAGGACTCGCGCGTCTTAGAGGTGTCGCACGGGCGTCTCAGAGGCGTTTCTGCGAGGCGTCTTAGAGGCGTCTTACGGGCGTATCTGAGAGGCGTCTCTCAGAGGCGTCATGCGTGGTCTCTGAAATGCGTCTCTGAGAGCTGTGTTACAGGCGTCTCGAAGGGGCTGCCCTGAGAGGCGTCCAACAGGCAGCTTTGAGAGGCATCTTGCAGGCGGCTCTGAGATGTGCCAGACAGGCGTCCTACAGGATTTTCTACATGAGCCTGGGAATCCAGAAGAATCTGCAGGAATGTGCACGGGACAGTTGTGTACATAAGCCCGCACACCCTAACACTTGTGAGCCCTCCAAGTTCTTCCACCCTTGATCACCTAAATCCTCATCCCATTTATCTCTTCAGCCGTTAAGCCCTTGAACCCTTACACCAGTAAGCCCTTCAACAGTTAAACAATACATAAGCAGCACTGAAGCCCTTGCTTCGTTATACCTTGTACCGTTTAAACCCTCAAACCCTTGAGCACTTAAGCCCTTCGACCCTTAAGTCCTGGAGCCCTTAAACCCTGAAGACCTTGAACCCGTAGAGCAACAACCCCAGACAAACTTGGTACAACTTTCGAACCGGGCAATCATGTTAATTTCTGGTATACATGTGCACACATATGCAGATTATTTGGTGATGGGATATTATATCATCGCCCCGCAATTCAAATCATACAGGGAGGCTATTTGGCCGTTTGGAATTTGTACCAGTTTGTCTTTTCGAGCTGGTTGGCAGATGTACTAGTTGGTTGGGCTCGTCCCAGCCGGTTGGAATTAGTACCGCATGCGATCCTGTCCCACCCCCCTTGGGGCATCCAGCGGCGCGCCGCCCTCAGTGATTCTGAGTATGAGTGAACCTGAGTGAGGAAGAGTGAGTCTCAGTATGAGTGAGTCTGAGTCTGAGTGAGTCTGAGTGTGAGTGAGCCTGAGTACGCGTGAGTCTGATTATGAGTGAATATGATTTGGGAAGGCGTCCACGTAAAAACGAGAACCCCATGTTAGGATACGGGGAGCAACAACCCCATCTTAGGATATTGTGAGCAATAACCCCATCTTAGGATATTGGGAACAATCGCGACGGGAGGTTTTTAGCCGTCTTCGGTCTCCAGGGGCCCTCGCCGGGACCCAGGATCGTCAGTATGCAACGCTGGTCCAGGGGAAGAGACCCAGACCTCTGGGGAGTCACGCTGTGAACAATTACGACGGAGGACGCGCACACCACGCCGGGGACCAGGATGGCCTTTGCCAGGCATGTTGGCAGTGTATGCCGTGCGCGCTCGAGACGAGGGGCCTCGCCGTGGAGGGATCGAGGAGCGGACGCCTTCTGCCGAGGCCAGTGCTCGCAAGACACGGGGGGCTCCGCCGTCGGACATCCGCTGTCGGGGACGAAGTCTGCTCCCCCTGTGAGAGACGCCACCTTCGTTGGACTCAGGGCCTCTGTAGCGGGTGGCGTGCGCCTTGGGGCGATCATGCTGGTGCTTCATGGTGAAAATCACGAAAGCAAGAATCATCATCGCCGCCACAACCAGACCAGAATCGGCGCGTGCTACCTCAGAGCGGTCATCACGAAACAAGGCCCCAACATCTGGCGTCTTGACATCTTCAGGACGGAAAAGGCGTGGAGTCCCGAACCGAACGCTGGCCCGCTGACGCTGAGCGGGTGGGCAGGCGCGCTCAGACTGAGCCGCTTGGCGGGCACACCCAAACCGACAGCGGATGGGCCAGCGCGCCCACTGCAATGGCGGACGGGCTGGCGCGCCCAGGCCGAAAGCGTCGAATCGCCGCCGCCCTGCTTTTTTCAGGACCGTGGGTGCCTGGTTCTGCCACGGGACTGGCGGCCTTTCTGCCTCCCTGGAGGCGGCCCTTTCTGATCCTCTCGCGATAATGACTGTTCTTGCCTGGGGGCGGGCGGGAGGCGGCCCGTCTTTTTTCACTCGCGGCGATAACTGGCGTTAGGAGGGGGGGGCGGGGTTTGCATCACGTATTGCCTTCCTCCCCAGCAGTGTGGTTCCGGCACCACCGCAGCGTCCGCGCGCACGACGACGACGAGAGATGAGCGACGAGCAACGAGCGACGACGATGACGACGACGACGACGAAGACGACGAAGACGACGACGAAGACGATGAAGACGACGACGATGACCATGACGACGACGACGACGACGGCGGCGACGGCGGCGGCGACGTCGACGACGACTACGACGACGACGACGGCGACGACGAAGGACAACGACGATGACGCCAAGCAGCGACGACGACGACGACGATGACGACGACGACGAGGAGCGACGACTGCAACAAGAGACGAGTTGTGGCGAGCACATGCCTGCGAAGGCGTCGCTACCTCCACGTGGCCTACTAAAGGTATGCTCCTCTCCTCCTCCTTCCTCGTCGTCCTCCTCCTCTTGCTCCTTCGCTTACAAACACAAGTGCATGAGAGCACCGAAACTTGCCCGCGACCACCGCGGATCCCTATCTGGCTCCCTTTGGGGATCCCTATGCGGATACCTATGGGGATACCCGTGCGGATCCCTATGCGGATCCCTATTGGGATCCCTATGCGCACCCATCATGCGGTTTCCTCAGGAGATCCCTATGCGAATTGCCATGCGGATCCGCATGCGGATCCGTATGCGGCTCCGTATGCGGATCCCGGATTCTTACGGGAATCCCAATGCGGATCGGATGCCGATGGATATCCCTATGCGGTCCCCATGCGGGCGGATGGATCCCTATGCGGATCGCTATGCGCACGGCGGCAGTGCCGGGGGTGCACTTGGGGGGGAAGCGTTAGGCTATGGGCGTCGGCTGGGGGACGTAACGCGCGTTATGGCCCTGGCAATAGAGAAACACGCTCTTGGACTTCCGCACGTTTCCAGATGCGTCCGAATCCACCGGGTCGCCTGTCTGGCCTGGTCCAGCCTGGGTCTCCAACGCTCCGACCCCAGATTCAGAGCTTGCTCATATTGGATATCCACCGCCCTTGGAATCAATCAAGAGTCATGATGTCTTTTGCTTTGAGCAGTCGTAGTCTTGATGTTTCATTATAGCTGGATCGTTCAAGGACCATTGGTGGCCAATCGCCGCCCAGCGCACGATGATGAAGTGGAGTGAAGCGGAGCGGGGGTCCAGGAGGCAACGGCAGAGTGAGGGGGCCGAACGGTCATTCATTGTCCCTGGGTGCGTGGCTGAAGTGGGGATCCGTGGTGAAGAGTCTGCTTGTTGCGTTGTTGTTGCTGAATTCGTATAATTGGATAATTATTGTTGATCCCCCCCTCCTGTGCACATGGTATTTTCTCAATGGAAGTGCCCCTCCCGGCGCTCGCACCCGGTTGTTTATCAGGGGAAGTCTTCCTCCTAATTTGCGCCCCTGGCTCCCGGGTTACAACAACAACGGCTCCCGCCTGAGACGTCTTCACAATTTCGCCAGGGCCCCCGGCCCCCGCCTCAGATTTCCTCGCATTTGATTCAGGAATCGCGCTCTCGCTTGGGACTTCTCTACAATGTATTCAGGAATCGCTCTCTCGGCGCTCTGGAGTCTCCCTCTCGCTGGAGACTTGCTTGCAGTCTACTCAAGAATAGCGCCCCAGCGTTGGAATTTCCAGCAATTTATTTCAGCGCCGCGCTCCCGACACTCAGGCACCCAGGAGTCGCGCTCACGCTTAGGACTCACTCACAGATTACTTAGGAATCGGGATCTCGCTGCCCTTCGTGGCCCCGTTGCAGCCCTTCGTGGCCCCCTCGCTGCCCTTCGTGGACCCGTTGCAGCCCTTCGTGGCCCCCTCGCTGCCCTTCGTGGCCCCGTTGCAGCTCTTCGTGGCCCCCTCGCTGCCCTTCGTGGCCCCGTTGCAGCCCTTCGTGGCCCTCTCGCTGCCCTTCGTGGCCCCGTTGCAGCCCTTCGTGGCCCCGTCGCTGCCCTTCGTGGCCCCATATATGTATGCCCTCCTTGGCCCCCGCTCGTTCGCGCCCGTCGTGGCCCCATATGCATGCCCTTCGTGGCCCCGCTGTCGCTCTTCGTGGCCCCCTCGCTGCCCTTCGTGGCCCCGTTGCTGCCCTCAGTGGCCCCGTCCTTGCCCTCCGCGGCCCAAATATACGCATGCCCTTCGTGGCCCCCGCTCGTTCGCGCCCGTCGTGGCCCCATGTGCATGTCCTTCGTGGCCCCGCTGTCGCCCTTTGTGGCCCCCTTGCTGTCCTGCGTGGCCCAGTTGCTACCCTCAGTGGCCCCGTCGTTGCCTTCTGTGGCCCCGCGTTATCTGCCCTTCGTGGCCCCCGCTCGTTCGCGCGCTTCGTGGCCCCATACGCATTCCCTGCATGTTCCCGCTGTCGCCCTTCGTGGCCTATTTAGTGCCTTTTGTGGCCCTGCTGTCGTTCTCTCTCTCGCTCTCGCCTTCGCTCGTCGTCGTCGTCGTTGTCGTCGTCGCCGCCGTCGTCGTCGACGTCGTCGTCGTCGTGGTCGGCCCCCTGTCCGTCCCTCTTGGTGTCGGGTTGCCGCCGATTAGCGCTGCCGGTGGCCAGGGCGACGGTCCGCGGCCGCCCCGCCGCTTGCAGGGGCCCGGCCTGCAGGGAAGAAGGTATACCCCCCCAAAAGGGGCACAATCGAAAACGAAGAGGGCGGGCATCGAGGGTTTGGAACATACGCGTTAATGGACACTCGAGCAGACAAGAGCGAACAGTCTAAAAATGATTGTTGTTGTTGTTGCTGCTGCTGCTGTTGTTGTTGTTGCTGTTGTTGCTGTTGTTGTTGTTGCTGTTGTTGTTGTTGTTGTTGAACTCTCATTCTTGAAGAATAATTATTGTTGATCCCCCCCACTGGTGCACATTGATTTTTTCGATTGAAGTGCCCCCCCCGGGGCTCGCACCTTGTTTTTTCTCAAGGAAAGTCTTCCTGCTCAAACTGTGCCCCTGCCCCCCGGGCTACAACAACAACGGCTCCCGCCTGAGACTTCCTCGATTTTTACTCAGTCCCCCGCTCCCGCCTGAGACTTCCGCACAATTTACTCAGGAAAGGCGCTCCCGTCTGAGACTTCCTCGCAATGTAATCAAGACCCCCGCTCCCGCCTGAGACTTCCGTGCAATTTACGTGGGAACGGCGCTGCCGCCTTAGATTTCTTCGAATTTTACTCAGGACCCCCGCTCCTGCCTGACATTTCCGCGCAATTGACTCAGGAACGGCGCTCCCGCCTGAGACTTCCTCGCAATTTAGTGAGGACCCCCGCTCCCGCCTGAGACTTCCGTGCAATTTGCTCAGGAACGGCGCTCCCGCTTGAGACTTCCTCGCAACTTAGTCAGGGCCCCCGCTTCCGCTTGAGATTTCCTCACAATGTACTCAGGACTGCGCTCTCGCGTGCGACGTCCTCACAAATTATTCTGGAATTGCGTTTCGGCGCTCAGGAACCACGCACGCGCCAAGGACGCCTTCACAACGTGGTATCTTCCCTCTTCCTTCGTCCTTCCCCCTCCCCTTCCTCCCACTCTCCCTCGTTCTTCCCCTCCTCCTCTTGCAGGGCCCGCGCCAATTCCAATGGCGGGCAGAGAGATGTACGCCCCCGAAGGATTGTCCGCCCGTTCCGGTTTGCCCGTACGTCTAAGCCCGCCGGCCCCAGCAAAGAGAAATAATCCCCCCGAAAGGGGTGTGATCGAAGACGAAGAGGGCGGGCATCGAGGGTGTAGGGTATACGTGTTGAATGACTCGCGGGCAAGTAAGAGCGTACAGCCTTAAAATGGTTGTTGTTGTTGTTGTTGCTGCTGTTGTTGTTGTTGTTGTTGTTGTTGCTGTTGTGTTTGTTGTTTTTGTTGTTTTTGTTGTTTTTGTTGTTGTTGTTGTAATTGTTGTAAGTGTTGTTGTTGTTGTTGTTGTTGTTGTTGTTGTTGTTGTTATTGTGGTTGTTGTTGTTTGTTGTCGTCGTCCTACACGCGACTCACCCCGCGACCCACCCCGCGACCCACCCGCGATCCGCCCTACGACCTACCCGCGACCCACCCTGCGACCCGCCCGCGACCCAACCCGCGACACACTCGCGACCCACCCCACGACCCACCCCGCGACCCACCCCGCGACCCACCCGCGATCCACCCTACGACCCACCCGCGACCCACCCGCGACCCAACAGCGACCCACCCGCGACCCACCCGCGACCCACCCGCGACCCAACAACGACCCACCCGCGACCCACCACGCGACCCACCCGCGACCCACCCGCGACCCACCCGCGACCCAGCAGCGACCCACCCGCGATCCACCCGCGACCCAGCCGCGACCCATTTGCGACCCACCCGCGACCCACCCGCGACCTACCCACATTGGTTTAACGAAAAAATTGCGCGCGCGGCGGGCTCGTTGTCAGAGTGAGGGGGCCGAACGGTCATTCATTGTCCTTGGGTGCGTGGCCGAAGCGGGGATCCGTGGTGAGGATTCATATTGTTGCGTTGTTGTTGTTGTTGTTGTTGTTGGTGTTGTTGTTGTTGTTGTTGTTGCTGCTGCTGCTGCTGCTGTTGTTGTTGTTGTTGTTGTTGTTGTTGTTGTTGTTGTTATTGTTGTTGCTGTTGTTGTTGTTGTTGTTGTTGTTGTTGTTTTTTTGTTTGTTTATTTGTTTGTTTGTGTGTTTGTTTGTTTGTTTGTTTGTTTGTTTGTTTGTTTGTTTGTTGTCGTCGTCCCACACCGCGACCCACCCGCGATCCACCCTTCGACCCACACCGCGATCCACCCCGCGAACCCACCCCGCGACCCACCCCGCGACACACCCGCGACCCAACCCGCGACCCACTCGCGACCCACCCCGTGACCCACCCGGCCACCCACCCGCGACCCACCCGCGATCCACCCCGCGATCCACCCGCGACCCATTTCGCGACCCACCCACGACCCACCCGCGACCCACCCCGCGACCCACCCGCGCGCCACCCGCGACCCAACCCGCGACCCCGTTGCGACCTAGCAGCGACCCACCCGCGATCCACCCGCGACCCACCCGCGATCCACCCGCGACCAGGCCGCGACCCATTTGCGGCCCACCCGTGACTTACCCACCTTGGTTTAACGAACAAATCGGCGCCTGCGGCGGGCTCGTTGTCAGAGTGAGGGGGCCGAACGGTCATTCATTGTCCCTGGGTGCTTGGCTTAGGTAGGGACCCGTGGTGAGGATTCTGCTTGTTGCGTTGTTGTTGTTTGTTTGTTGTCGTCGTCGTCCCACCCGCGACCCACCAGCGACTCACCCTGCGACCCACCCCGCGATCCAACCCGCGACCCACCCGGCGACCCACCCGGCGACCCACCCGCGACCCAACCCGCGACACACCCGCGACCCTTCTTGCGACCCACCCCGCGACCCACCCGCGACCCACTCTCGACCCATCTCGCGACTCACCCGCGACCCACCCCGCGACCCACCCGCGACCCACCCGCGACCCAGCCGTGTCCCAACATCGACCCACCCGCGACCGACCCCGCGACCGACCCCGCGACCCACCCGCGATCCACCCGCCACCCACCCGCGACCCAGCAGCGACCCACCCGCGATCCACCCGCGACCCAGCCGCGAACCATTTGCGACCCACCCGCGACCCAGCCGCGACCCATTTGCGACCCACCCGCGACCCACCCGCGACCTACCCACATTGGTTTAACGGAAGAATCGGCGCCTGCGGCGGGCACATGGTATAACATGTGAAACTCTGGCGCCTGCGGCGGGCTTCTCCAGAGTCTCGCAGACTGCCGACGTCCCCACCGCCCCCTCACTCTTATCCGCATCTGCGGGTGTCTACGTACGCGGATATTCTCGGCCCGGGGGGGGGGGCACAGATACCATCCGCTGCCTCTTGGGGTCCTCGAACACCAGTTCTGTCCTCCGCCGCAGCGACCCTGGGTGCGGAGCTTTCCAGGGCGCGCGAGGGCCAGAGCCGAGCACGGAGGCCGCGATATTGCCGCACCACACGCTACGAATCGGCAGGCCGCGCGCCAGAGGCCGCACCTGTCTGGGATCACTGCTGCGTGTCGCCGAGGCTCCCCAGGCCGTGAGCATGTATTGGGCGAAGAGGACCATGCACATGCGCCGATCCTGGCAAGGCCCACCCTTGACCCAGGATTGGTGCACATACCTTCCTGGCCAAGGTAGTTGGGCGTGTGCACCGATCCTAGGCTCAGGATCGGCCTGGCCAGAATCGGTGTATGTGCATAGTTCTCTTTGCTTTAATGTACAGACCATTCGGGGCTCGGAAGCTCCAACTCCATCCCTCACATGAGCTGAGGGGGGAGGCAGCCGTGAGCGGTGCGACAGCTGCTGTGGCAGAGAGCCATCTCGTTCGCCATGCCTTCGCATCTCTTTGTCTGCTTCCTCGGGTTTCCTCCCTTCTGAGTGCAAGCGCCCTTTTTGCTGAGGGTGCTGGGGAAGGTCTCCTCTGATGATATGTCGCTTTCTTTCTCTTTTAGTCTGCTCGAACCTCCTCTCTGTGCTGTGAGCTGTGCGCTTCACCTGGTGTCCGCGAGAATCACTCGTGCGGGTACCGGCGGGCCCGCCTATGGGAGCTGTACGCACGCTTGCGCAGCTCAGAGTGCTCAGGCGTTTTTTTCCACACGTGGCCCGATGCATCGCGCTGGAGTTGACCGTACATCTGCAATTCTGTTCTTCGCCCTCTTTCTTCCCTTGTCTCGTTTCTTGCTCCAGTTCCCCACTTTACCGGCCCCCATCTCGCTCTCACGTTTTCACCAGCAGACTGTTCTTGGCTCCTTAGAGCTTGGACCTCAATGCTTCATCCCTAGTTCCCCATATCCTAAGATGGGGTTCTTGTTATTACTTGGACGCCTCCTACTCCCTCTCCTTCTTCCTCCTCTTTCCTCCTCCCCTCCTGTCGGACTTACTCATACTCAGACTTGCTCATACTCAGACTTACTCATACACAGACTTACTCATACTCAGACTTACTCATACTCAGACCTACTCATACTCAGACTTACTCACACTCAGACATACTCATACACAGACGTACTCAAACACAGACTTACTCATACCCAGACGTACTCATACACAGACTCACTCATACCCAGACTTACTCATACACAGTACGCTTGGAGAGCAGATTGTGAGGATGTCTCAGGCGGGGCGCTGGTTTCAGCACCCCTAAGGGGAGCCGCCAGGGGTGGTTGCACGGGCTCGTTCGCGGCCATTTTGTGGGGATGTCTCAGGCGGTTTGCTTGTTTCTGGGCTCAACATCCTTCGCTTGGAGAGCAGATTGTGAGGATGTCTCAGGCGGGGCGCTGGTTTCAGCACCCCTAAGGGGAGCCGCCAGGGGTGGTTGCACGGGCTCGTTCGCGGCCATTTTGTGGGGATGTCTCAGGCGGTTTGCTTGTTTCTGGGCTCAACATCCTTCGCTTGGAGAGCAGATTGTGAGGATGTCTCAGGCGGGGCGCTGGTTTCAGCACCCCTAAGGGGAGCCGCCAGGGGTGGTTGCACGGGCTCGTTCGCGGCAATTTTGTGGGGATGTCTCAGGCGGTTTGCCTGTTTCTGGGCTCAACATCCTTCGCTTGGAGAGCAGATTGTGAGGATGTCTCAGGCGGGGCGCTGGTTTCAGCACCCCTAAGGGGAGCCGCCAGGGGTGGTTGCACGGGCTCGTTCGCGGCCATTTTGTGGGGATGTCTCAGGCGGTTTGCTTGTTTCTGGGCTCAACATCCTTCGCTTGGAGAGCAGATTGTGAGGATGTCTCAGGCGGGGCGCTGGTTTCAGCACCCCTAAGGGGAGCCGCCAGGGGTGGTTGCACGGGCTCGTTCGCGGCCATTTTGTGGGGATGTCTCAGGCGGTTTGCTTGTTTCTGGGCTCAACATCCTTCGCTTGGAGAGCAGATTGTGAGGATGTCTCAGGCGGGGCGCTGGTTTCAGCACCCCTAAGGGGAGCCGCCAGGGGGGTTTGCAGGGGCTCGTTCGCGGCCATTTTGTGGGGATGTTTCAGGCGGTTTGCTAGTTTCCGGGCCCAACATCCTTCGCTTGGAGAGCAGACTGTGAGGATGTCTCAGGCGGGGCGCTGGTTTCAGCACCCCTGATGGGGTTCTTGTTATTACTTGGACGCCTCCTACTCTTTCTTCTCCCTCCTCCTCTTTTCTCCCCCCCTCCTGTCGGACTTACTCATGTCTCAAGCGGGGCGCTGGTTGCAGCACCCCTATGGGGAGCCGCCAGGGGTGGTTGCACGGTAGCTAAATGCTCACCGTGGCACTATCCTCCAACATGGCATGCACTTATGGCCTTGTGTGGCCAAACGCTCGTCTTACATATCCCACTGTCAACTATCCTACAACATATGCACATGTGGGAAGCTCCACAGCTACCACGGGCTGAAAAGGGGAAGGCCTGGCAGCTGAGGAGGGGGGATGAAGAGGAAGAGGCTCGCATTCAACCATATTCAAAGCTCACTCTGACTCATACGCAATCACTCGCATTAGGGGTCACTCGTCTTCGTCGGCCCTGTCGCCCACGTGGACGCGCTATTGTAGTCGACCGCTCATGAACAGACGCTCACCACGGCATGACATAAAACATGAGATGCACATATGGGGAGCTCCACGCAGTGAGTAGTTATTGAAGGTGGTACGCCTTCGAGCTGGCGTCGCGACCAAGTCCTTCCTCATCGTCGTCGCCCCCTCCTGTACCCTTCCCCGCCTCCCTCTGGTCCTCCTGCTCCTCCCGCTCCTTCCACTCCAGCTCTTGTTGCTGCTGCTCTCCCTCGTCCTCCTCCTCCTCCTTCCCGCGCCACATACGGCGCGATCGCACTTGGCTTGTCTTCCCCCCCCGCCCTCTCTCTCCTCTCCCTTGCTTTCTCGTGGCCAGCAGGAAGGGAGCGGGTCCTGAGGGAAACAGGCTTTTGACCCTGGGGCCATGCCTTACCAGCCTGGAACATATCCCTATCCCTATGCTGGGCATCTCCTCATCACGATGCCAATCTTAGGGATTCCCTTTTTTTTTGAGGGCGCATCCCTAAGATGGTCATCGCCTTTTGGCGTGTCAATCTTAGGGATAGGGATAAGTTCGAGGCTGGGCCATGCCCCAGGACCAGTTCTTCATCTGGAGTCGTTCTCCGACAATCTCAGGGCCCGTGGAGGACTCCAGGAAGCCCCAAGCGGAGAAAATTGTCCGGACTCGTCTCCTGCCCTGGTTGTGCGCGAATCCTCAGGGGGCGACAGCTCCCTCTTGGACGGCCCCCTCTTGGACGCCCCCGACGACCCACGCAGCGCCACGGATCTTAGCACGAGCTGCTCCTGCCGCTCGGCAGGGGTGGTTCCTGGACCGCCGGGGGCTGCCCCCACGGCTGTTCACCCAGCGGGCCTCGTCCTGGGGCGCACCAGCGCGGCATCGGCCGACCGGTGCGGCGTGGCCGGCGGGCGGGCTGGCGCCGCGCGCGGCGAGCAGATTCTGCCGGAGTGTCGCTCAGTGCCGGAAGCTCGGCGCCAGGGCTTTCATCGGAGCATCGGGGCTCTAGAGGCGGAAGGGCCGCGGCGCCGGCGAGCCCGTGGGGGAGCGGGGGGCGACGCAGCACGATGCGAGAACCACGAAAAGTCCCCATGGCGTCCTCTCGTTTGCATCCCCTCGTCGCCGGATGCTGTGAGGCAAGAGCACGAAGCTTAGTTGCCCTGATTCGCCCGTTTTGAGACGCAAGACGTACCGTGTTCAGAACGTCCGTGTTAACACGCTGCGTGTTGCTCGGCACGTATTGGTCCACCTTTTGGCGAACGTGACGCGACAAACGTACGTGTTCATTATCCGTGTTGAGCTCCGTGTCAACACGCTACGGGCTGCGTGTTGCGTATCGTGACGGCTAAGGAAGATAGGTGTGTTGGCCATGTTCGGCTTCCAGGGGCCCTCACTGGGCCCCAGGACCGTCAAATCAATTACTCAGGATTTGAAGCCGAACCTGGGGAAGGGGTCCAGCACGACGGAGGATGTCTGGGTCAGTGCGAATTGTGCCTTCGAGCGGTGCAGGCCAAGCCGAAACCCACACGACCGATGTAGTTTGACTGACTGTCAGCGGCAATTGTCCTTTGACGTTGTAAGACAGGCGAAAGAAACACGCAGGACAAGAAGCATGCCATGCAAACACGGGAATGTATCATCCTGCTTCCATGTTTCACGACGGGGAACCGGAACCGAAACGGGGCGAAGGTAAAGGGGAGACGGCGGAATATTAGGACAAGAATGGTTTGCCGGGTATGCTCAGGTTGAGGAGCAGGAGAGGTATGGGGATCAGGATAATGTGTGACAAGGATGGGGACAATAATGGACATCTATGTAGGGCTCAATTTGGGGATGGGGATATCAATACACTTGTGGAGTCAGACTGCGGCTGAGTTTGACTCGACACATGGCACCACACCAGGTCTAGACACAGTTTTGATCCTTATGCTCCCTTACTCCTATATCCTATCCATGCCTTTATCCTCACCTGGACCGTGACGAGGGGGAAGAGGAGGAGGATAACAGGGAGATAGAGAGGAGGCCTGGCAAGGCCCTGGATCGCGCACAGACATAGAAGACTAAACATCGGGCTGACCGTGCCTTTCGGAGTGCGCACGGGTGCCGTGGATCAGCGCTGGACCCTCCTCCTTGTCGCGCGGCGCGCGCTCGGGGCAGCGGTGGCGCCGCCAGAGGGGTGCACCGCCGATCATTCTTCCCGCGCGGACCTCCGAAAGTTCATATGCGTTTGTGAAGGTGTTCTTCCTCAGATCACGCCGCCCAGCCTCATCACCGAGTGATCTTCGGAGCATTCGTCCTTCTCCTCCTCCTGCTCCCTCCGTCTGTTCTTCCTCCTTCCTCCTTGCTCCTCCCCTCTCCCTGCCTCATTCTACCTTCTCCTCCTTCATCCAGCGACGACGCTGGCCTCGACCACAACGATGTGGACGTCGACGGCGACGATCACGATTGCGACCGACTATCGCCGACGACGACGGGCGAAGGTGGCGGAGACGACGACGACGACGACGACGACGACGGACGTCTTCCGATGACACGGACAACGTCGACGACGGCGACGACCGACGTCGACGGCGAAGACGACGTCGACGAAGACGTCGATGACGATGAGGACGACCGACGACCAACGCCCGACGACCGACCGACGACGGACGACCGACGCCCTACGGTCGGCCTGTGCGGTGCCCCAGGCGGCCCCTGGCCGCGCGATGCCCTGCCGCGGCCGCGCCGCGCCGGGCGGGGCTGGCCGGCGCCAGGCCGTCCGCCTGGCCGCCAGCCGCTGCCGCCGCTGGCCGATGTCGCCGCCGTCGCCTCCGCTTGTCGTCGCCGTCGTCGTCGGCGTCGTCGTCGTCATTGTCGTCATTGTCGTCGTTGACGTTGCGTGCCGCTGGAGGAGGAGAGCGGGTGAGGAGGAGGCGGAGGAGGGGAGGGAGGGGAGGGAAGGGGAGGAGGAGGAGGAAGAGGAGGACGAGGATGACGAGGAGGGGGAGAAGGGGGCATGAAGGATGAGGGGAGAGGGATGGTGTCCGGCGGGCTCCAGTGTTTTTTTCGGCGGCAGGGAGGATTAATTACGATGAGGGAGGATGATTTTGCAAGTTTCCCGTTGCCCTTGGACGCTTCCGGCGGATCTTGGAGGAGGAGCAGGAGGATGGGGAGGAGGAGGAGGAGGAGGAGGAGGAGGAGGAGGAGGAGGAGGAGGAGGAGGAGTAGGTGGAGGAGGAGGAGGAGGAGGATTGGGAGGAGGAAGCAGAGTAGGAGGACGAGTAGGAGGAGGCTTGCCAGGCCGCGTCGGCGGCAAGCGGCGCCGGCGGCGGCGCTGCAGCCAGCGATGCCCCGCGTCGCCATCCGCACGGGCGGCGCTGTTCGCTTGGCGCCCGCCGGCCCTGGCCGTGAGGCCTCCAGCGGGGTCGGCAGGGGCGTGCCTCGAAAGAGTGAGCGCTGATGGGGATCAGCGCCGACGGGTGGAGGAGGAGGTCGGAGAAAGAAAAGGTACCAATACCGCTACCCTCGCCTCGTTTTCCCCTTTTCGGGCTTCCTGGGAGGCCCTCGTCGCCACCGCTGGATTCGCCTCGAAATTTTTGTCAGACTGCACCCAGGGAGACGCCCAGGGAGTAGCGGTATCGGCACCATTTGGTTTCCTCAGGAGGAGGAGAAGGAGGAGGAGGAGGAGGAGGAGGAGGGAGGAGGAGGGGGGAGGAGGGAGGAGGAGGGGGGAGGAGGGGGGTCGTCGTCGTCGTCGTCGTCGTCGTCGTCGTCGTCGTCGTCGTCGTCGTCGTCGTGGTCGTCGTCGTCGTCGTCGTCGTCGTGGTCGTGGTCGTCGTCGTCGTCGTCGTCGTCGTCGTCGTCGTCGTCGTCGTCGTCGTCGTCGTGGTCGTGGTCGTCGTCGTCGTCGTCGTCGTCGTCGTCGTCGTCGTCGTCGTCGTCGTCGTCGTCGTCGTGATCGTGGTCGTCGTCGTCGTCGTCGTCGTCACCACCGACAGCTTCGGCAAGAGCGGCGTTGGCGACGACCTGGACGTCGACGAATGTGTCCGTGGGCGTCGACAACGGTAGCGGCATCGACGACGACCTCGGCGTCGGCGTCTTCGTCGTCGACGACGCTTTCGACGTAGATGGCGACTTGTGCGTCGACGACAAATCGACACTGGCGGCGTTGGCCACGGCTTCGACGTCGACGACTTCCTTCTTGGGCGTCGACGACGACTTTGCCGACGGCAGCGGCGTCCGCGACGACCACGGCGCCGACGACCTCGGCGCGGACGGCGACGTCGGCGTCGACGACGACTTCGACCACGCCGGCGTCGGCGGCAGCGACCCCGACGTCGACGTGGACGGCGTCGATTTCGTCAAAGATTTCGATGTCGTCGTCTTCCCGCGAGGTCGACGGGTCCCCCGTCGCAGCCGCCGTGGGCCACGAGGAGGCCGATGCGCCCGACGCCGACGGCGCCGCGCCTGCCGACCAGGTGGCGCCGCCGCCGCCGGCCGCCGTCGTTCTCTGGCGCGAGTCGCCGTCGGTCGTCGTCGGCCGTCCGTCTCTGCCGCCGTCGGTCGTCGATCGTCGGTCGCCGTTCGCCGTGCCACCGCCGCCGCCGCCGCCGTCGTCGCCGTCGCCGTTGTCGTCGATTGAGGTTCGTGGGTCGATTCTAGAGGTGTTGGTATGTCTTCTGGCCGAATCCTACTGGGCACACTGCGGAATGGCCAAGACATGCTCGAATATGTGGCAGCGCCACGCACCCTTGTGCCAAACACAGGGGGTGGCGAATCTATTGGCTTTCAGCCCATCCACCATGTTGGTTGGGTCGTGGACAAGAGGCTCCTTAGATTCTTAGATGCTTCCAGGGGTCACTGGGGAGGCGTCTTGGCGACCTCGTGGGAGCCTCTCAGGGGCTTTTTAATTGGCCTCATGGAAGCCTCTGTGGGGCCTCTCTGGGGTGACTGTTCTTCTCAACGTTATCGTGTAGTATCTTATGTGTTGCTTTGTTTGCTTCGTTTATGTGTTTCGCGTGTTGTGTTGCGTTGTTTCGGTGTTGGTTCGTGTGGTTGTTCGCTTTGGTTTGCATTATTTGCTTCGTGTGGTGTGGTCTGTTTCTTTGCGTTGCCTGCGCGAGAAATCTTGATATGAAGCTGTGCAAGAGGATTCTACTTGTTATCCCTACACTCAGAATCAATGTTCAAACTGTCTGCGAAGGGAATCCTATTATAAAGCCGCACGTAGTGTATTCCACAAATTCCGAATCAATGTGTCAATCGCTGATCGAAGGAAATCCATTGGAAATCCGCCCAAGGGATTCTGTTTCTGATCAACACTAGGAATCACTTGGCAAATCGCCTACACAAGGATTTCCTTTGGAAGGGAGCCTGAAAACGGTTCGGGAAAAGGCCGAGAGAAAAGAACAACACTTACCAGGAAATTCCCCGCAGTTGTTTTGTTCTTTTTTGGGGGGGTCGGGGAGCGGGGACATGAAACAACAATAAGAAAATCAATGGTCGGAGATCACATGTTGTGTTTTTTTCCGCTCTCCTCCCGATTGTTCTGCGGCTCTCTTTCAGATGGGGCTGTTTTTTTAGTCGAGTCATTACTTGATCCCCCTTGTGTTGGTTTTGTGTGGGTTACACAAAGAATCCTCAAGTATTTCTATTTTGCGGATTTCACGTGGAAGCTTTGCTGTACGACTTGAACATCGAATTTCTTTTGTAGGCGATTTGCGACTTGATTGTCGTTGTCCAGATTGAGAGTCGACTAATCATGCCTGGTTTTGCAATCGGTCCCATTTTTCTGAGCGGCTTGCACATTTATTTCTACGGTGCTGGTTGCGCATAAAAAACAGTTTGTGCGACTTGTCAGACGGCTACGTCATCGACTGGCTCATGAACCACATCATCTCGGCCACTGGGCTGCAGCTCAAGAAGGCGACCTCCCACGAGCACCCAGCTCCTGGCGAGTACGTACACCTAGCCACTCGCGACGCGCAGGCGCCTTCGGGCGTTGTCAAGGTGCTGGCCCACCGGCAGGAGGACATCAGGAAGCTCTACGAGACGCTGCACGGCCAGGACCTTCAGGCTGGCTCAGACTTCGTCGCAATCGAAGTCAAGAACGATCTCATCACGACCCAGAGCATGACGAGGGGCTGGGGGAGGGCGTGTCTGTGAGTGCTTACTGCGTCCTCGACAATTCGGAGCACTCGCTCGGAATTCCATGCATGACAGGCGACGGCTCGTTGTGCTCCGCGGTCTTGGTCGTCTTTCGAGCCCACCCCGCCCAGGCGGGGCCTGCTGCTCTAGATCATCATGCTGCTAATCGCCATGCACGCCGCCAGAATATTTCATCTGCTTTTTCCTCAGACTTTCTTCTCGAGGGTCGCGTTCGACCTCCTCTTCCCATGCTAGCTTTTGGTCTGGACGATCTTCTACCTGCCAACGCGGACGGTCCAGTCGCCAAGGATATTCTTCTTCAATTTTACCGAAGCCTTCGCCTTCGACGAGCCATTGGTGACATCGCTGCCGACGCACCGATACCGAGGGCGGCCCGGACTCAGGCGGACAGCAACGTGGCGCAGCAGATCCCCGACGGTGGGAACCGTGAGCAGGTCTGGGGTGGCCAGTTTCAGGGGGAGTATTCGGTAGTGTCTTGGAACGCTCTGGCTCTCTTCTGCACTGACCCCGTCCGTCGTGACTTGAAATCCAGGTATGTCCATCGGTTCGCCGACAAGGCGGAGATGGTGTTGTTGCAGGAAGTGCACGGCACCGAAGTCAGCAACAGTACCTGGCGTCCGTCGCTGGGCACTCAGGCCTGTTGGTCGCAGGGCCCCACTGCTGGACACGCTGGTGTCGGCATCATCGTTCGAGACACGTTGCTCCGCCAGTTCAGTGAGCCCCCCAAGTGGGTCACATCTGGAGGGGGAGGGCGGCGAAACTTTGTCTGCGGGGCCCGGCGGGCTCGCTGGATATCATCGTCGTCTCCTTCCACACGGGCGCTGACGGCAGTTTGACCGAGCACGACCTCCACGGGGTACCTGACGGATCTCGCGCCAACGTTCACAGTATCCCGTGCCTTCGCTCGCTCCTCTTGTACACGCATTGCGGGCAACGTGGCCGCGAGGCTGAACTGTCTGACCATAGTTGGTGCCGATTTCAACTACGTAGTTTTATCGACCGCGACGGCGTCTCCATAGGTTCAGGGACTTTCTCGGGGAGGCGGGACAGGATGGAGGAGACGCACTTCAAAAATGAATTATGCGTCCGGCATGGGCTGGCCGAGCTTTTCCAGGCCGACTGGGCCCACGCGGCCGCGAGCTCCCAGGCGAAGTTGGGTCGCATCTATAGCAATCATCACGTTTCGGACCAGTTCGATCGATAGTTCCAGTCTTCCCCCCTCTCGAGTGGGCGCACGACCTTTCGCACCATGGGGCCGTGTTCGCTGCCCGGCGGCTGCCTCGCCGTGAACGCGAGGGCCGTCCACTCGCTCTGCGTGCGCTCCAGCATCGAGACTTCCCTAGGCGGCTCATTCTTGAATATGTTCAGCTGCCGACGGACAATCTGGCGGCCAACGCCGTGGACAGGTTGAGTTTGTACAAGCGAACCCCTTCCGCCATAGAGGGCGACGTGACCCGGAAGGTGGAGGACCTCCGAAACTTCGCCGCGGACTTGACCAGGCAGCACGCTCTGGACGAGCTGATCAAATCCCGCGAGGTCTTGCAAGGTACCGATGAGTTCAAGGCATCACGTGCAAGACAGAAAAACACGAGGCTGATATTCCGATTGGCTCCCGGCAGCGCTGGAGGCATCGGGGCTGTCAAAAAGCCAAGCGGCGAAGTGGTTGTCGACACCAATGGCATGGCCACTGTGTTGCGCGACCACTGGGGCGAGGTATTCCAGAAGACGGGCGTCAACCTGGCTCTCCTGGGGGATTGGCTGCGCGACGACGTTCAACGCCGGCCGTCGACGGATTTGTCCCCCCCAGCATTGCGCTTGAAGCGGGTCCATTTCTTCACGGCCATCCGCAAATCGAGCAATTCTGCGCCTGGGCCAGATGGCATCCCCTTCCTTGCGTGGCGCCGATGTGCCATATTGTCGGCCCAGATCCTGCTAGACCCCGCGCGCTGGATGGGGGAGGTCGGGGTGGGCGGCATCGGCGAGGAGCAGCTAATGGACTTCAATCGCAGCCTCTTGTCTTCCTCCCAAAGAAGCCGAGTGGCACAGCAGCCAATGGAGAGAGCATCCTCGAAGCAGCCAATGTCCGACCCCTGAACTTCACCAATTCAGACGATCGCCTCATCGCCAGCGCCATCCTGGGCCTTGTCGAACCCATCGTCGGCCCCAGGATCACGGAGGTGCCACAGGGGTTCGTTAGAGGGCGATCAATGGTCGCCAACCTATTGGATGTGGATTGTGCTATGACATCTGGGGCCTTCGAGTCTGACGATGCCGCGGCGCTGTTCTTCGACTTCGCCGCGGCGCCCCCGTCGGTGGATCAGGACTTCATGACGAGGGCGTTCGAAAAACTCGGCTGACCCCCATGGCTGCATAACGTTGTCTCGGTTCTCTACGTGTTCAACATCTGCGTCATCGTCATGGGCGTGATGCGGCACGATGGCTCCGCGATCTCTCGCGGTGTACGTCAGGGCTGCCCGTTGTCACCTTTGTTGTTTGCAGTCGCATCGGACGTGCTCTGTCGACGAATAATGAGGCTTGTCCCTGGCGGAGTCGTTCGCGCGTATGCCGACGACGCTGCCCTTGTCCATCAGCATATTTTGGACCATCTGCCAGTTGTCGAGGGCATCTTCGTGGACTTCTCGGAGATCTGGGGGTTGCGGCTGAATGTGCAGAAGATTATCATCGCCGAGCCCTTCCCCATGGGCCACGTGGGCGCGCGGCTGAGGGCGATCGCGCGAGCGCCACTGTGGGGCGCCATCGGGATTGCAGACTGCGCGAAGTATGTCGGATTCAATGTGGGGCCTGGCCGAGGGACCAGGACATGAGATACCATCATGAACAAATATTTGGCGCGGGCCGCGATCTGGAGTAAGCTGGGCGCGGGGCTCCTTCATTCCATGGAAGCCTGCAAGGTGTCCGTTGCGTCTGTCACCATGTTCTGCGCGCAGCTTGGCGCGTTGCCGCCGGATTTGTCCGACCGCGAGTCCGCGGCTACCCGCGCGTAACTTCCGGGCCCTCATCATTGGATCGACCCCTAGACAGCGAAGGCAATGCACTTAACTTGAATGACATATGGTATGATGGGCATTGACGCCGCGGCGACTGCAGCGAAAGCGCGGGCGAGGATGCGCGAGGCCAGCCAAAGCGGATGGCTGAATGTCCGCTCTCGGGCGCGATGCCTGGACGACATGCTCGCTCAAGCGAGCAGCGCGCAGAAGCAGGTGCTCTATGGTCACTGGGCTCGCGACGCCTTCGTCTTGAATCTGGGCCTCGCCACTTCGGCGGTGTGCATGGGGATCGGCGCGGACAGCCCTCTCCTTCATCAAGGACACCGCGAGCATGAACGCGAAGGGTGTCAAGCGGCGATTACCAAGCGGATCGGGGCATCTCATGAACGGGCTGCGCTCGTTCATATCTAGAGGCGGCTCGATCGATGGCAGCTGCCCGCATTGCCTGGCCGCGGGGTCGACACGTGTCGTTGCCTCGCTGGGGATCTTTCCACGCTAGTGGCTCCGGGGGTCCTTGCAGCGAGGGCCCGGGCTGCTTTCAGTGGCTGAGTCACCGGCCGCCGCTTCCAGGGAAACGGGCGTTGCTGCCTGGACTGCGCCGGAGCGGACAGTATCGAACGCTATTCGCGGCGCCCGTGCTTCCACCGCCTCTCCCGGCAACGCGACGGTTTCTGCCGACCGACCTCAGAGAACGCCTTGGCGGAGTTCCTCGGCCTCGCCCCTGCCGAGACTGCGAACCGCCGCGCGGCGCCTGGCGAGCGGGCCGTGCTGGGGACTTGCGCAGTTTATGTTCTCACGCAGACGCGCGGCTCTGTTCGCGCAGGCCTCGGGCGCTCTGCTGGGGGGGGCGGAGGGCGAACTGAGGTTGGAAAGACGAGCGCAGATTCGGTCAGTTGGCGCGCGCGGGCGACGCGCTGCTGATGACGAGGACCACTGGCGACGTGGAGAAGTGGTTCAACGTGTTTCAACTTGCAGCTGGCGCAATGGGGTTGGAGACGCATTGGGGCAGGTTGCAGCTTCTTAGAATCCGGTGCCAAGGAACAGTCACGACTCCACAGGGCGACGAAATAGCAGCCAAGAACACATGATCGCACCTCGGTGCCACCTTGAACAACGACGGGAGAGCGGGAGGCGATATTACCAGGAGGCGTGGAATGGCTGTCGCCGTTTTCCGAGAGCTGAAGATTTTCTGGGGCCACTCGAATATCGGAGAGGCAAGAGAGATCGAACTTTGCAACGTCGTCATCATATCGAAGTTGTTATACAGCTTATGCACTGTCGCGCTGAAAGCTGCGCAGAGAACGAGACTGGACGGGGCGCACTGCAGAATGCTAAGAACTTTGCGCGGCATCAGACATCTGATGATCTCACGCGTGTCGAACGACTCCACGCGGGCACGCGCGGGCCAGGTTCCCCCGACGGCCATTCTTCTGAAGCAGCAGCTGATGTTATACGGCAAGGCAGTGCGCGGCTCAGCAGGAGATCCTTTTCGCGAATCTGTTTTCGCCACTGGGAGTGCGACGCCAATCGCGGGCGCCTTCGTGAGGAGGGCGGGGGCGCCATGGCTGGAGTGGGCGAAGTTCCTGGGATCACGTGCGCACCGGGCATGCGGGGAAGGAGACATATTGCAAACTCTTGTTCAGGATCTCCACGTTTGGAGACATAGACTGAAAGATATGCGTAGGTAGTGAATGAGTGTGCGTTTGCCGACGCGCCATGGGCGTAGGGCTTCTGTCTGTCTGTCGAGCGCTCTGCGGGGCCCGATTTTTTTCGTGGCTTCGCTTTTGAAGCGGCGCGTGGAAACCAACGCGCTGCTTGTAACGTGCAACGTTCGCTGCAGCGTCCGCTTCAAGCTAGTCTCTCTCTCTTCTCCTCCTCGCCCTCCTCTTTTGCGATTCCATTGTTTGGTATGGCTATCGCGCCATTTTCGGCCCTGTGTGACACTGATGGCAGGTGCATGTGTGCGCGTTCTCCGTCCTAGTTGCAGCATGACTTGCGCGTCTCATTCGGGCCCGGGGCTATTGCGGTTTTTCCCCTCTCCTGTTCCCCGCCCTTCCCCCGCCTGTCCTCCTCCCCTCCTCTCTGCCTTTCCCTCGTGTGTACGATGTGGAACGTACCAACGGCTGTCAAGGCCTCGGGGGGTACAGGCACATGGCACACCCCGTTCCTCCGTTTTGTTAACATTCTCAGGGTGTTAGTGTCCAGCTGGTTGGGCTGGGATGATGTAAAATAATTCGTAGTGGCTTTATGTGAGGAATAACGCGCCTCTCAAATGCAACCGTTTTTTTTCCACCAGTGCTTAAGAGAACAAACTTAGTGCCCGGGAGGAGGTAGTTCGGTGTGCTTCTGGCTGCCTCGGTGTGCTTGTTCGTTCTTCTTTCTCCTCGTCCGCCTCCTTCCCCTCCTCCTCCTTTCCCTTTTCTCTGGATTTCATCAAGTTTGCGTGGTCAGTCACGGAGCTCGGACTCCGCTCGCGAAATCTGCATCCCCAGTGCCGTTAATACGTGGCCACGGAAGAGGCCCCTGGAGGACACGGTGGAGTCAGCAGAGAGGAGGCACAATGTCACGAAATTGTCCAACATCATCGCGCCAAAGATAATATTGTAATCTAATTTTTCTTATATATCACATACTGTGCGTGTTAAAAAATTGATATTGTTGCGCGTGTCGCCTTCGAGTTTCTGTTGTTTACGGGTTTCAAATTGATTCCCATCGCTTGACTTGAAATGGTCGGCGGCCTCATTTACATATGCATCGACGGAACAGTCATATTTTGGCAGATCGATCGATCTACAATAATACATATGTGTGTTTGTGCATATGCGCAAACATATGCATTTAAACATATACATGTGTAGTCTCACATATGAAAACATGGTCGGATTGATATACATACATATGTCAATGTAAAAGAACGGCTTGATGCATACATTCACTTTTTGTAAACGCGAATGTGTTCGGAAGGAGGGGTGCACCTTCACACATATGTTATGTTTGAGATCTGTGGGTCGACGTGTCAGCTTGTATACATATATATATAGATGGGGGAGATAGCTGGATACATTCTACACAACACCAACGGACATGTATGCATACATCCGTATGAACACATGATTGGATACGTACATACCGTTCTGAATTTCCGGATCTTCAGAATACACCTTTTAGAGGGGCCTTCTGACCACGCCTTCTAGAGTCGCACAGAAGCCCTCTAGAGCCTTTTTTTTCGTGCCTCTCCAGAGGCCCTTTTAGAGGCTCATTGGAGCATGCTAGAACTCTTTAAAGCATTAAACAGAGACGGAGTTGTCTATGTGTCTTTTCGGCGCTTCTGAGAGCACCCGCAGATCATTACGTGTCTCTTCTGCTCCCGTGAGAGTTCGCGCATCCTGTTGCCGTTCTTCATAGTTTGAGAACGCAGAAAAACACCCGCATTGAAAAACACGACGTCGGAGTTTTAGGTCGTCATTCATCACCGTTTCTCCTGCCATCGTCCGCGTCGCCTGCTGCGCCGAGCTGCTTCCGGAGGTCCCCAGCATCGTTCACCACCTGTCCGTTCCTTCACTCCCTCTTCCTATACTCCCCCTCCTTCAACCTTTCCCGCGCGGCGCTGACTCCCTAGTCGCCAGACCAACCTAATGGATCAACGATTCAGAGCGCAGCGTAGCACGCCAGTGAACATTTGTGTACATATGTATATTGATCGGCGAATTCGCTGCAACATATGTCGGTATGCCGATGTCCATAATGTAGGTGCATGGTTGGACCTGTAAATATGTGCATTGGGGTCTAGATGGGCACATGAATAGATGTATACGGATGGACGGGTAAAACTGTAGATGTATGGGCCGATCCGTATTTACTTACGAACAAATGTATTTATAGATATAGGCCGTTGGCTAAATAGACAAAGCTAGGGGTTGACATCGTGTAAATCGACGTGCATTGTGTACATGCATGTCCAGAAGGACGCATGGCCAGACGAATTGATATATATATATATATATATATCTTACCGATATATCTACAAGCCTACAGACAAGTGTAGATCAATGTAGATACGTGCATATTTAGATGCACACAAACACTCATGTTGGTACAAGCTTAACTCGTTCGACCGATGGACCGACTGATGCTACCTATATGCGTAGAAGGCTGTAAATATACAGATATATGAATATACAGATATAGAGGAAGAAGGGGGACGAGAGAAAGAGAGAGAGACAAAGAGAGAGAGAGAGAGAACAAAAAAAAAGACAGCGAGAGAGACAGCGAGAGAACGAGGGACAGAGAGAAAGAGAGCAGCCCCCCCCCGCCTTTTCCATTCCCCCACCCAGGCCCCACCCACGGCGCGCGCGCGGAGGGTGCGCGGGCAACCGCTGCCCCCTCCCATTACCCACCCTCCGTCGCGTGTGCGTGCGTGCGTGTGCCGAAAAGGTATATATAGAGCAACCGCAGTCCCCACCCTTCCCTTCAACACATAAAGTTGGGGGTGAAGAGTACCGGACGGCAGCCGCTACCTGCTCCCACGTCCCAATTGTGTTGTGTGTGCGGGGGTACAAAAGAGCCTTCACTTCCCCCAATACACGGGAGCAGCAACTTTCCTCTCCCAGCTCGCTCTCTGCGTTGCGCGCGTGGAGAGAGGGAATAGGAGTGAGAGCGGGGGAGAGGGAGAAAGAGAGAGGGGGAGGATAAACAAACGATAGAATCCATTTCGCATCCGATGCCCCCCTCTGCGTTGTCAATGGATGGTGCGAGGGGTCTCTGTGGTAACTACTGCTTGCTGTTATTGTCCACTCCGTGTTGCGCGGGAAGTGTGGGACAAAGGAATAGAGAGAGAGAGAGAGACAGAAAGAGAGAGTGAGATACATATATATAGGGCGAGAGAGAGAGAGAGAGAACGAGCAACCATTACCCCTACCATTCCCCCCATCCCTTGTGTTCCACGCAGGGCACGAGAGAGGGATAGAGAGAGAGAGAGAGAGCAACCGCCAACCCCTCCCATTCGGCGGATATCTACCAGACGGGGAGGAGCATGCAGAAGAAATGAATCGCCCAGAGCAGAGGCTGATATTGACCAAACGATATATATATACATATATATATATGATCACCGATAAAGGTGCGAGAGACCAGCACAGAGAGAGAGAGAGAGAGATGAGCAAGATAGAGAAAGGAAGCGATACTTTCGGATTCTATCGCCAGCGGGTGTCCACCGTCATCATCGTCATAACAATGACTGCTTTTAGCATTCGTTCGCATCGCCAGCGCGATGCGTTAGAACACGTCACATGTTACCACCTTGCGGAACAAGAAAAAAGCGGGAACGTCGAGACACATCAGCCTCTTCGGGGCCTATTGCTGGGCTCCAGAGCAATCTTGGGAGGACAGGCTGCGCATGTCAGTTCGGGTTCCCAATCTCGGGCCCTTTGAAGTCCTGTTTTGGAGCTTCGTGGGATTTTTTGGATGTCTCGGCTGGAGTCGTGATGGGACCTTCGGAGTGCGTGGGCCGTCCTCGGTATTTCTATGTATCGAAGCCGCCTACGGCGAAGCACCGCCACCCTTTGCCGTTGGAAGCGCCAAGGTGGCCAAACGTTTGGCCAAAGTCTGCCCAAACTGTTAGACTACGCGTTCCCCTAATGAGGTGACCGCGGCTGTTGCCAAGGGGATGTGGGGGGCAAGGAATGGATGCGATGGATTGCTTGATCTGGCCGAACTTAGTTAGCTTCTATGTGGGTGACAGGTGTCCTAAGTGGTCTAGGTGGTGTGATCACTCCGCCAAATGGGCGGGGCCTACGTAGCCCGGGCCGCCTACCCCCTTCAACCCACTTCTAAGCTATTTGATGCCAAAGACGATCCACCGTAGCGTCTTCTTCTAAGGTAACCCCAGCGGCCATTTCCGTAGCCATGGTGGAAGCCCTTGTGGGAACATTTGGAGGAGAAAGAGAGCCGGGGGGAGAAGGAGGAGGACCACTGTAAGCCCAAGACGCATCGACGATGTTGCAATAAACCATCCGTCCGCATTACGTCTTCATAGGACCCTGAACGATTTAGTGTTGGAAATGGCCCATTCGAAGTCAACCGTCTGTCAATCCTCAGTGGTGCTAGCACTGCGCTTGTTGGACTTTCAGGCTGCGGATCAACGTTACTTTTGCGTCATGGCAGTCCTAAATCTCGCCAGAGCGTCTTTCCTGGGAATTCAGCACCGCGAATCAACATCATTGTTGCGTCCTGAAATTCCGGAAACGTGTCAGAGCGCCGCTTCTGGGAATTGGCCCTATGGATCCGTGAAACTGATGCAAACTTGCAGGGCGAATGTGCGCGTGGCTAGGGCGAGAGCCACGTTTTGGAAAGGAACCGCCTTCCATCCTTGAAAGTGCTGCTGTAGTTTAAGACGAACGTCCGCCGAGCTACGCCTGAGGCTACGTTTTTGGGGAACGACTCCCTCCAGGAGTGCAGCTGGTTGCAAATTTATATGGCACGTCTGGAGGCGCTAATGCGAGAACTGCATTGTGAAAGCCAGCCGCCCTGCATCCATGAACGTGAGGGACATCGCTCAAGCGAATGTACGCGGCGCTAGTTAAGGCGACAGTCACACGTTGAAACAAGGACCAGCCTTCCATCCGTGAATCTGCTGCGAACTTCCGAGGGGAGGCGGCGGCGGCGGAGGAGAAGATGCTGATGATGCTGATGATGCTGATGATGATGCTGATGCTGATGCTGATACTGATGCAGTTGATGATGATGATAATGATGATGATGATGATGATGATGATGATGATGCTGATGATGATGATGATGATGATGATGATGCTGATGCTGATGCTGATGCTGCTGCTGATGCTGATGCTAATGCTGCTGCTGATGCTGATGCTGATGCTGATGCTGTTGATGGTTATGATGACAATGATGGTGATGATAAGGAGAAAGAGGAGGATGAGGTGGAGGGTGGGGGAGATGGAGGGTGAAGGAGATGGAGGAGGAAGAAGAGGAGGAGGAGGAGGAGGAGGAAGAGGGAGGAGGTTGTTGTTGTGGATCGCGTGAACGCGGTGACTAGAACAACTCGCTCCCATCGGAATTGGGGTCAGACTCCACATCCGACCCACCTCGACGGGACGTCTCTCCGAGAGCCTGCACTCTATCCAAGCCAGAGGGAATGAGTCCGAAAGCCTCCAGGACCACCTGCTCGGATGCAAATCCAGGGGCTTCATGGGCCTCTCTGAGAGGGCAGCTCGCCGAACCAGGCGCAGCTTCGAACAACTCGTCTGACGCATAACTCGCCTCTCTTCCAAAACTCAGCGGTTCTGGGAGGGCCAGCTTCAGGTCTTCAGAGTGGACGCGCGATAGTGAGAATGCCTCCCTCTGCTGATGCGTCCGAGCTGCGACTTGATGCCAGGGCTGGCTGGGACTCCCTTGCACTTGCCTTTGAGCGCAACGCCAGGACGGAAGCCAGAGCAGTGAGCCCCGCATCGAAAACAGAACGTGAGCCACTGGCCCCCTCTGGGAAGAGGGGCATGAAACGCGCACTCGAGAAGGGCATGGCTCCAGACGAAGCTCGCCAGAGGGTGCCATGTCAGGCCAAAGCCTGCCTCCCGCCCCGCCGCCACCCGACTCCACGCCACCCGACCTCCCCCTCGCCGTCCCCTTCCTGCCCCGGCAGGCGGCGCGTCCTCGAGCGGCGGCTCCTGGGGGGGGCCCTGAGCCCGCTCGGCCTCGGGCTCCGCCTGGCCCTCGCGGCCCATCCCAGCAGGCGTCCGACCTGGCCGCAGTCGCCTGGCTGAGGTGAGCTTCGAGGGGCCCTGCCCAGCGTCCAGCTTCCTTGGCTAGGATACGAAAGCCCGCAACAAGATCGGCATGCTCCTGCTCTGCGCCATGCAACCTCGCACCGGCTTTACCATGCATGTCTGCACTCTCACTGGCACGCTCTTCCCACCACGTGGTGAGGCCTCGGTTAACATCCACCGCCGGCGCGTGAGCCAAAGCCTTGTGGGCCTCATAGTCACACCGCTCGAAGCTGCTCCACAATCGGGACCACAGATGCCCACGAGGCGCCCTTGCCGAGGTCCCAGAGCCAGGTCCCTTGCGAAGCACTCCGAGGGTGGATCCACGGCCTAGAAACAACTCGAGCAGAGGCATGCCCATCTTTGTAAGCGTGTGCACTGCAACGTCCTCACCGTCCTTGGAGGTCTGACGAGGCCCAAGGGACAGCGGGACGGGCCCGTGGGCCGCCGACACAACTTGGCCGAGCCGATCCACCTGCACTAGAGCCCAGCCTGCACGCGCCACCCCATGTAGTTGCGCGAACATCGCTGAGCCATCTGAAAAAATGCACCCCGTTAGCAACCCTGTCGCTGGCTTGTTGATCCAGTGCACTCGGGGATCAGGCTCGGATGCGTGCACAAAGACAAGAGGTGAGGGGAAAACCCCTCTCGCAAATCCCTCGCCCACCTCCAACCCAACTTCCAACGCCCTCCCCGCCCTTTCCCGCAGCCAGCTCGAGACGCCACCCCTTCGCAGGCTGACATGAGCTGGGCAGTCGTACTGCCTGTGCCACAGGGTTCCTGGCGAGCCTTGGCAGAGGCGGCAGTGCGGGGAAGGGTGAAGACCGTGACCGTGCACTCTGGCTTGAGGCCAGTGCGCATTACACATTAATTTTCTAAAGGATCTCTGGTGTTGGACCGTCCACACCGCCGACTTTCCTCGAAGCAGCCCAGAGACCCCTTGCCAAAACATCGGGAACGACTGGACCTTCGGGCCCCCAAGTCCCTGGGCCCCGTGGTGGCCCAGGGCCTGACGGTCCGAGGCCCTCACGGCCGCGTCGCGCACGAAGGCTCTAGCTTCCATCGGAGCCAGCTGCAGCAAGTTCCAGGTTACCCCAAAGTCACTGACTATCTGCGAGCTGACGAGGAAACCCATCCGATTCGAGCGAGCGGCGACAAGTAGGCAACATCGGCAGGCGAGGCAGCTCCTCTCCAAGGGTGCTTCTTGTCAGCCGCTTTAGAAATGGCCGCGGCAATCGTGGTCTCTAGGATGCGGGCCTTCGGGTACCACCCCAGACCGCCGTAGCCCACTGAAACATCGCATGGCCAGAATAGGCAACCAGAGGGCCACGCATGAAACCTACGCGAAACTAGTGGAGCCAAATGCCCAGGCTAGCTCCCTTGGGGCCTCTCCCCGCATTGTGGGCCGCTGAGACGCGCAGCCCGTGTATGGCCGTCGGGGCCACCCCAACAACACTACTCCCCCAAAGGGCTGAGGCTGTGGCCCCCATTCTCTGGACAAGCGCTATATCGGCCCCCGCCTCCCTCAGAAGTTGAAGCCGGCGAGTCCTGGATCGAGCCGCGACGAACTTGGCCCTCGCGATGCCCACGCGACGTGCACCTCCGAAGACCGCATCCGCCCCACGGTTCCGATGGTGATCGGCACGATTGGAGGGATGCAGGGGCCACTGGCCTTGCGCAAGCTTGTCGGCCTCCGCCGAGCAGAGGTACTTCGTTTTATTCAGGGCGATGGGTAGCCGTAGTTGTTTTCAAGTCCTGGAACAGCTACCTGCTTTGGACGCCCACACGCCTGCAGCGCTACGTCGTCGACAACATTCCTGATGTAGAGCATCGGTCGCTCGGCTCTCGCTCGGGGGATGGGGGTCAAGAAGCGACACCTTTGCCACCGCCGTGGCACCCGAGCAGCCTGCGATCACTGCCCCGTTGGCGCGCAGAGAGGCCGACGCGCCACCGCCGTGCAACAGCACCCCGTGTCCAGCACACGTGCAGCACAGGCCTCGCAAGACGCGAGTGGGAAATGCGAACGCGCGTGCTGCATGCTACGGGTCCTGATGTGGAACATTTCGTATAACTTGCTGAGATCCACCAGTGCGCTCCCCGATTGGAACCCCGTGGTCCTGCAGTAGCTCCCAAAGAGGTTGTGGACCCACCCTGCTCTCTCACACGTATTCGACGGGTTCGTGCCCCCGGAAACATCGTGCGCGTGCTCTCTCTCTCTCTCTCTCTCTCTCTCTCTCTCTCCCAGCGGCTGCAAATCGGCTGTCGGAGGCGCGATCGCAATTTCGTGATCAGGCAGAGCAGGCCTACGGGGCGCACGCCGCCGTCGGCCTTCGCGATGAAGGCCGTGTTCGTCATAAGCATGCGAAGGGCCTGGGGCGAGTCTTCAAACCTGAGCAGAATGTCCGACAATCTCAGCTGATGGTCCTCCGTTGAGTCCAGAATCCACCGATGGTGGAAGCCATCCCGCCCCAGCTCACCCCCTGGATTATATGTTCTGCAGCCACGCCCCGGGTCCTCGAGCGTGAGGGGAGGGCGGTCTCCTTCACCCTCTGGAACTTCCCAGGATGAAGGGTGGCTGCTGCCGCGGCCCTCGACGTGCCAGAGTGGCACCCACTGGGTAAGCAAACGCTCGAGCGCCTCCTGCCCGCAAACGGGAACCCCGTCCAAGTCGAGCAGGGAGGTTGCATTCTGAAAGGTCTTCCGAGAGAAGGCATGGGCTGCTTTCCCCCCTCCTTTGACAGATTGGGTCGCCCAAGTCCTCCACTCTTTCACGGATGTCTTGGCATCTTCCCCCCGTCTCCTGCTTGCCTCCTCCTCCAGGTGCGTCCAGATCGGCAGGGCGAGACGCGGTCGAGAGGTGGCCTCGCCGGCCGGGGCGGCAAGGCTGGCGGCGCTGCAGTGACCGTCGCTCGGGGACATCACGGAGACCATGCGCAATTTTGCTCGCGAGCACCCCCATTCCACCTTCCGATGAGCGACCTGCCAGCATGCCCGGGCCTACCTCTGACAGTGTTTTGGCAGCGAAGGGCGAGACCCAAGAAAGCAATCCAGGCAGTCGTCTGCGCACTGAACCGTCTCTTTTGTTCCTTATCCCAGGCCACCCCCAGGGGCACCCACTTGGTCTTGGGCCCCTGCCCCCGTCCAGCAACACCAAGGGCAGAACCTCCGAGCCCATGGTCTTCCTGCAGACGGTCTCCCGACAACTCGAACCACTCCTGCACCATCATATCAAGCGAAGTGGCCTGGATATCTCCAGCATCCCAAGACCAGGCGTACGTACGAGGCTCCTGTTGAGGTCCTAGCAAACCCATGGGGAAGGCCTTGAACCTGCCCTACTGCAACATCTTCACCACGTGCGACACCTTCGATATCTTCAGGAGAACTGGGGAGCGCGGATATGAGGGCGCCCCGTAGCGCACCGTGACCTCCTGCTCCCTCGAGGCCAATATTTCGGCCACCACGAAGGAGTCCAACATCTCTTCCAGACTGGCCCCCGTCACAGATCTCCTGCTCCTCCCCCAGAATTTGTTGATCAGCTGCATCTTGGTCTGGCCCATCAGGGCCACCTCCTTCCAGCGCCGCCTTCCCTCCTGGTACCTGCGAGCACGTAGGCGTAGATGGCGCCACGATTGTGCCACGCACCGTCTGGAGCCAACCATTGTCCTGCAGCTGTTCTGGCGTGAAATTAAAATCTGCTTGCGAGATCCACGGGCGAGCTTGCCCTGGGAGGTATTCACCTATAGCAGTAAGCATGTGGACGCTGGGTCCTGCCAGCTCCTGCCCTGTGACGAAAGAGGCCGTGACGAACAGTGTGCCCACTGGGAAACCCATGTTCACGACCCTGCAACACACCCTGTTCGAACACGAAGCGAAAAGCCCACTTTCGATCGGTGCCAAGGCTGAGTTGTTGACTACAGCGATCGAAGCCCCAGCCGAGCTCTGAAGGGGTCCATGGCCAGTGCTATGGGCTAAACTGAGCGACGTGAGCATGTTGTGACGATTGCACCACCCACGCGCAGACATCGCCTTATTCTCAGACTTAATGCGGGTCTCGTGGCACATCACGACATGAGGAGGAGCCTGATTCCCCAGCCCAGGATCCACCACTCACTCGAAAACGTTCTCGCCCGTGCTCCACGCGTTCACATTCATGCCAAGCACGTGCACATCACACTCCTCGCTCTCATCCCATGCAGTTCTCCGCCTTGGGAGAAAAACGAGGGGGCCCTGGTTCAGCTGCATGCTGAAGAGGGCGGCCAGCTCCACGAGCTGGCTGGTCCTGATGCTGTATTTTCTTAGCTGAATCGAGCAAAAGAGTGGAGGAGAGAAGGCCGACAGCGCTCGACTCTGATGGCCCTGACGAGCGCGAACTCTGAGCAGCAGGCTCCGACGATCCACTCGTCCCAACAGAAGTAGATGGCCTCAACGAACCCCTCGTGGCAGTCGTAGTCGAAGGCCTCTGAGCTCTCCTCGCGGTCACTGACGAGGCAGGCTCCGTAGGTGCACCCATGGAACCCGACCCTGAGGGCTCCGACGATCCACCCGTGGGCGTCAGCGAGGAGGGTCGCATCGAAGGGGCCGCTCCCGAAGCTGACGACGAACCTGCCCTCGAAGTGCATGCGGGCAGACGGGTGTGACTTCCAGTGGCTGAATTTGGGATGCAACTCCTGGGAGGTCAAATTCTGATTTTGCATTGGTCCGAAGTCTGTCTTAATCCCGCTTAATCCCGCTCAATCCCGCTTAATCCGGCTTAATCCCGCTGAATCCGAGGCCCATTCCGGCGTAATAGCTCCCAAATGGGGCTTAATCCGTTTTAATCTTTCCGGCGAAAACCTCCCAGTAGTTGCCTCCTAACTGAATCCCTGCCCCCTTCTGCCCTTCGGGCCTACGCCCATACCCGCCGCACCACGCGCAGGCCACCCCGCAAATGGTCCGGCTCCGCTCGCCGACCAGCATCGTCAGCCCGACGGCGCCTGCGCACCGGTGCCCCCAGCAATCCTGACAGCGTGCCAACGGCCGAGGCTGCAGGGCTGGGAGGAGGAGGAGGAGGAGGAGGAGGAGGAGGAGGAGGAGGAGGAGGAGGGAGAAGGAGGACGTGGAGGGTGGAGGGAGAGGCCTCGGAGACCGCGCGCTGCTCCCAGGGCTCTGCCGCCGCGGCCAGCGCCTGCAGGGATGCGCGGGCCGCCTCCGCCATCCTGGGCGCGGGGGGCGGCCTCGAGGCGCCGCTGCCGACGCTCTGTCGTCGTCGGTCTCGTTCGTCCGCGCTTCGTGGGCGAGTGGAGACCTGCTGGCCTTCTGGTGGGGCCCCTCGCCGCCACGGTTTTGGCGCAGCTCGGCGAGGAGGTGCGTTTGGACCCCGGAAGCGGGCGGGGGACCGCTATTGAGGCGCGGCCGTCTGCCGGGGGGTCCACGTTCAGTCCGATTAGTATCGGATCGATGTCGGTTTCGACTTTCCTGGGGGGGAGGAAGTGGAGGAGGAGGAGGAGGAGGAGGAAAGAAAGGAGGATCACCCCAATGCGGCGACCACGGAGGGCATGCTCAACTTTGGGCTCAGCGGCGGCGCCCCAATCCTGGGGCAGCGGGGTCGGGATGAAAGACTGGTCTTGCGGACGGGGTCCGGTCCTCTGGGGAGCCACGTGATGAAACAAAACAGCACAGAGGATGTCCGGGAAGGCGCCTGGATTCGCGACGGGCCCTGTTTCTGTACAGAATCTGCGCGCTCCGTCGCTAGAGCAGGCTGTATTGGTCTCATGTGTTGGGGGGTATCTGCCCCGATCCGTGCATCTGTTGCCCACGCGCCAGATCCACGGATCCCTGGTTCGTGTTAGCGTGTGCCCGAATATTGGTTTTGGTCAGCCCGATACGATTCGATTCCAGTGATTCAAGGATCTTGTGCGGACCCATGCCTACACGGCGCTACTGTGCATCCTGGCGCAGCCGATCCAAATCGATTCGCACTTTGTGCAAGTGCAGCCCGGTCCGACGGACGTGCTGATTGGATGCGGTTTCCCGGTTTTGATGCTGATCGATCCTGCCTCCCCCCTGTCGTCGTCCTTCGTCGTCGGGCGCCAGTCGTCTTCGGTCGTCCTCCGTCGGTCGTCGTCCGTCGTCGTCTTTCGTCGCCGTCGTCTTACGGCGAGCCAGGATCAGAAGGATGACCAGGAGGAGAGGGTGAGGAGGAGGAGGAGGAGTAGGAGGAGGAGGAGTAGGACGAGGAGGAGGAGGAGGAGTAAAAACGCACCCCTGGAGAGGGCAGGGGGTCGATGCTCGAGGAAGTATGACGGGGAAGGATGATAACAAGGATGACAGCATAAAGAGATGATGATGATGATGATGATGATGATGATGATGATGATGATGATGATGATGATGATGATACTGATGATACTGATGATGATGATGATGATGATGATGATGATGATGATGATGATGATGATGATGATGATGATGATGATGACGATACTGATGATGATGATGATGACGATGATGATGTTGTTGATGATGCTGATGATGATGACGATGATGCTGCTGATGACGATGGTGGTGGTGATGATGATGATGCTGATGATGACGACGATGATGCTGCTGATGATGATGATGCTGCTCAGCATGATGATCATGATGATGATACTGATGCTGATTGTGATGATGATGCCGATGATGATGATGATGATGATGATGATGATGATGATGATGATGGTGGTGGTGGTGGTGGTGGTGGTGATGATGATGATGATGATGATGCTGATGATGATGATGGTGATGATGATGCTGATGATGGTGATGGTGAAGATGCTGATGATGATGATTATGATGCTGATTATGGTGATGATGAGGAGGAGGAGGAGGAGGAGGAGGGAGAGGATGAGGAGGATCAGGAAAGTACAGGGAAGCTGGAGAGAGCGGCTGAGCCAGCGCTTCCAGTCTTTCCAGTCATGGCCACCATACCCCGTCTGTTTAGGGTTCGCTCCAGCTTCTGCTAGTTCTTTCTAATCAGTTCCACCCATGGCCACTTCTACTTTCACGGGCTTTCCAATTCCCATGATTTTCTTGTTGGTCATGTACTGCATCAACGATGTTGCAGTACCCTCTCCAGTCCCAAGACCCTCGCTCACGAGTCCCTACGAGCTTTCCTTCTCGCTGCGAGAAAGAGTCCCCTTTAAAGACTTGCGCACAGTGGGCGAGAGGGTAGGCTCGAGGAGCGGCCACCTCCAATCTCTCCTCCTCCCCTTCCTCCTCCTCCTTCTCCTCCTCCTCCTCCTCCTCCTCCTCCTTTCTCTTTTTTGTGTTTCTCCCGTTTGGGACTCTGGGAGGCTTCCGGGGACCTCTCCTCTGAAGCCTCTGGGGGCTTCAGGAGAGACCTCACAAGACTTCACGAGGAACCTCCTGAGACCCCGCGAGGCCCTCAAGTCAGTTCGTCGGATTTAGTGTTTTCCCAACGCTCCCTTGGTTGGGTTCTCGTTTTGAAAAGACCAGTGGGGTACCGTCTCCCTTCTCCTTCTCCTCCCGCCATCTGTCCCCCTCTCACCTGTCTGCGCCTGCCTGCACCTGCCTGCTGGGGGGGGCCAGCACAGTGGGGCCCCACGCAGGCCCAAACAGGACCTCGCCATCCCTGGGGGGGGGGCAAACTGTCGCCACTTTCGAGGGCTGCCGGGGGAGCCCGCGCAGTGGGGTCCCACGCATGCCCAAACGGGACCTCGCCATCCCTGGGGGGCTGCGAAGTGTGAAACTGTCTTCACTTTCGAGGGCTGCTGGGGGAGCCCGCACAGTGGGGGCCCACGCAAATCCAAACGGTACCTCGCCATCCCTAGGGGCTGCGAAGTGTGGATTTGTCGCAACTTTTGAGGGCTGATTGGGGGGCAACACAGTAGGGTGCCGCGCAGGCCCAAACGGGACCTCGCCGTCCCTGGGCTACGAAGTGTGGATTTGTCGCCACTTTCGAGGGCTGCTGGGGGCGCCAGGGGACCTCGCCATCCCTGGCTGCGGGGGGTGCGAAGTGTGAAACTGTCGCCTGTTTTGAGGGCTGCTGGGTGTGGCCAGCACAGAGGGGGCCCACGCATACGTCGAGGATCTCACCATCCCTGGGGAGGGGGCTGCGAAGTGCGAAACTGGCTGCATCTTTACGTGTTGCTTTCGAGAGCGACCACAGTCCGCGACCCGCCCGCAGACCCGGCGGCGCGCCTGCGCGCGTTTGGTGCCCGCACTAAGAGGTGCAGGGAGGAAGCGGGGAGTTTGCCGGGCGAGCTGGGCCTTGACCAGCGCTTACACGAATAACGGGAGCTTTAATTTGTCCGAGGCGCCGCAGCAACAAGGAGTGCTGGCCGCGCAAGTGTTGAGGGCTTCGGCATGGAAAGACGCGATTCTTCATTGTCTGGTAGCGTCTCCGCGTGTGTACCCTTATTTCACCCACGCTCCATCATTTCGCTGCCTCTGCCGAGGTGATTGGTCTGCCACCCCGATGTATTCCTTGTGCTTCTCCGTCGCAGTACAATGCCTCCTGGCCTCTTGTGCTTGTGTTCTCCGAGTCGGCCACGCACACTGCGCGCGATATTTCCATCCCCCGTGCAGCCGTCTCGTGCAGCGTTGCTGTCACACTTTTGCTGGGTACCTCGCAGGGTGACGGATTTTCATCGAGAGGCTGCGGCCGTGATCTTCCGATCGAAAACCGTTTTCGGCCGTCGGCGCCGCGGCCGATGCCAACGACGACGACGACGACTGCGGCGACGACGGTGAAGAAGACGCCGACGCCGGCGCCGACGCCGATTGTGGCGGCGACGGCGGCGACGCCGACGGCGACGATGACGCCAACACCGGGGTCGAAGACGCGACGCTGACGCAGACGACGCCGACGCCGACGCCCACGACGGCGACGCTGAGGACGACGCGGGCGCCGATGCCGACACCGACGTCGTCGACGCGGGAGCACG